CAGTGTGTAACTACTGTGCCTTCCAGAGGATGGCCATTGAACAGCCATCATGACCACTCTCTGGGGTAGATCCAACCAAAGCCACGCGACCAAGTCAATTCTGACGTGGGGCGGCCCCTGGGTGTCAGATGGGCCTGTGTTCTGTACATTTGGTTTTCTCGGCTGTCATATTTATGGGACAGCAGGTCACCAGGCCTCCTTCTGTGGTCCCAGTGAGTGGATTGGAGCCACCAACCTTGGGCTGGCCATTCCACTCACTGCCATTGAATCCATCGGATTAGTCGTCAGGTGCCAAGCATTTGTGGCCCTCGGTTATCCTAACTGTTGAGCGTCATTGAGTCCGTTCCAACCACTGTGACCCTGTGTTTAAAAGAGCAAAGCGCTGCCTGGCCCTGGGCCGGGCTCCCAGTCCTCGCGCTCGGCGCCGGAGCCCATGGTTGCAGCCCCTGTGTCGCTCCAGCTTGTTGAGGGGCTTCCTCTTTCACGCCAACTCTGCTTTCACCAGCATGCTGGCCTCTGCAGGGGTGGGTCTCTCTTGATAACGGGTCCAAAGTATGTGAAACCACGTCTTTCCTGCCTTTGGTACTTTTTCCCTTTTTAAATATTTTATTAGGGGCTCATACAACTGTTATCCCAATCCATACACACATCAATTGTGTAAAGCGCATTTGTACATCGTTTCTCAAAACATTTTCTCTCCACTTAAACCCCCCGACGTTAGGTCCTCATTTTTCCCCTCCCTCCCCGCTCCCCCCTCCCGCATGAGCCCTTGATAGTTTATAAATTGGTATTTTGTCATATCTTGCCCTGTCCGACGTCTCCCTTCACCCACTTTTCGGTTGTCCGTCCCCCAGGGAGGAGGTCACACACAGTTCCATGTAATCAGTTCCCTCTTTCCTACCCATTCTCCCTTTACCCTCCCTGTTTCGCCACTCACACCACTGGTCCTGTAGGAATTATCCGCCCTGGATTCCCTGTATTTCCAGTTCCTATCTGTACCAGTGTACATCCTCTGGTCTAAGGAGCGTTCTGGCTGCAAATACGTCTTCCAAGACAGATGTGTCCACGCCCCTGGCATCCCGTGGTATAGACAATCTCCTTGGCGTTTGGCAGACCATGGTCTATGGAGCGTGCTTTGCAATGCCATCATCCAAACGCATCCGTTCTTCCTCAGCCTTCCATGTTCATTGCTAAAGTTAACTGAGGCCCGACCCAGGTACTTCCTGGGTACCTGGTGCACCAGCCATCTCTTGCCTTGCTTGTCTGCTCTCCTACTTTAGTCAGTATACGTGTGGGCATGCCCGTGTCTCGTGAAGAATGAGTACTCACGGGTAAATGAAGACATCGGTTAGAATGCTCGGAATCGTTAGCATAGGGCTAAAGCTCAAATGCCTGTCACGGGCCATCTGTGGGGCACTATCTCTCCAGTGAGCGGGACCCCAGAAAGAGGCAATGGTGGGCCTGGGCCGGGCTACTAACCCTCAGTCTCAGAAAGCCAGGTAGTCACACCCACGGTGGCAGTGGCAGCATGGAGCTGCTTCAAAGAGACCACGACTCATTCACGGTCCCCGACTACCAGCCTCGCCACAATCCCTCAGGAGAAGTCAGAGCCTGGATTTCCTCTCGGTGGCTTTCAGCACCCACATGTTTCCATCAGCACGGTTCCCAAGAAGATGTCCTTAAAACACACGCACTTTCTCTCTCCAGCACACACGCACAGTAGAATGTTTCCATCACGTGGTTCCTGAGAAGATGCTCTTTAAAACACTCCAACACACACACACACACACACACACACACACACACACACTCAAAAAACAACACCCAGACCAAGAGAGGAGAAATGATCTCCTTTTCCCAGTGCTCATGCAAGAAATGGAAGGACTTGCCCTCCAGCCACCCCCTAACCCAGCGTGGGTGACTGGGGCCTCCACTCTCCGCCCGAGGCATGCCAGATCTGAGGTCTGTGGGAGCTGGCCTCCAGAGAGCACCTTACCAGCTAGTATCCTCGGGATTTCTGTGCGATGCTTTCTCTAGGGACCAGCTTCTCCTGAGACTCCAGAGCAGGGAGGACTTTGTGTGGAGGGCAGAGGGACGACATTCACCTTGATCTTTGGAGGATGGAGGACCCATCTTAGCGAGGATGCTCCTTCTTTTTTAAGGTTGCCAATGAGTGGGAACCCTGGTGGTTTAGTGGGCTTCACCCTGAGCTACTCACCACACGGTCAGGGATTCCAGCCCACCAGACCCTCCTTGGAAGAAAGAGAAAGGCTGTCAGTTCGCATAAAGATTTAAAAGTCTTGGAAATCCACAAAGGCAGGTCTGCTCCACCTTGGAATCAGGGTCTCTTTGAATCAGCATCTACTTGATGGCCGTGATTTTTATTTTATTTTATGTTTTTGCTTTGTAAATGAAGGAACCCTGGGGGCCCTGTGGGGGATGTGTTGGCCTGGTTCCCGAGAAGCCAGTGGTCATCTGTGGGGCACCTGCCAGCCCCTCCGAAGGAGAAGGATGAGGCAGCCCGTGCCCATCAACATCGACAGCCTCCATGATTGCTGTGGACCGGTTCCACTCGAGCCCGTCGGGCGCCAGGAGTCGGAACCGATTTGAACGGCAGCTGGGTTGGTTTCAGGAGCCCTGGTAGCCCAGCAGTTCCACATTCAGCTGCGATCCACAAAGTCAGAGGTTTGAAACCACCGGTTGCTCCTTAGGAAAAAGACAGGGCCGTCTGCTTCCATCAGAAGCTTCAGGCTTAGAAGCCCACCGGGGCCGTTCTACCCGGTCCTGCACGATTGGCTTGAGTCGGAGTCGACTGGATTGAGTCAGTTGTGAGTTAGGTTTGATTTGTCAGTGACCCAATTCGTTCTACATACGCCATGGAAACCACCCCCCCACCCCAATGAAGAATGCTAATGAGGGATTTTTTTTTTCCCCCAATAATATTTCTACATGCTTTATCAAACTTTTCGTCTTTTTCCAAGTTCTTTTCGTAAAGACTTTAGGATAGCTTAAAACAAAATGAAACAAAATACACAGGAGGTTAATGCCTAAAACACAAAGAATTCATAAGAAGATAAAAATCCAGGGGAAGGGACCCTATGTGCAAGACATGAGGGAGCGGAGAGTCAGAAAAGGGAAACGCAACAAGTTTCCATTAGACAGTCCTGGGAGGGAGGGAGCCCACGACGACCCTCCTGGGGAGAGGCAGTGTTCCGGCCTCGACGGTGGAAGACCTGCACCATCGTTGCACTGTTCAGAGGACACTGAGCCACCGACAGGGCCCTGAAGCGCATCTTCATCACAGACAAAACGGCGGCCTTCGTGGGTCTGGGACGCTAAGGAGCAGCCTGCTGAGGGCAGGGGTGGTGAAGGGCTGCATTTGCCAGATCTGGGCCCAGGCCCTTTCTTTCCAGAACAGTGTGGCCAAGGGAAGTCCTGACACTTGCAGCCTCCTTCCTCAGGATGCGTGCCCCCCCCCCCCCGCCCTTTATCCTGGCACCGTTTGAGTACCTGTTAGCTTTGAACCTCTGACATGGTTAGCAGCCAAGCATTGTAACCATTGTGCCACCAGGGTTGCTTCAGGAGTCCGAGCCAGAGCCAGTTGGCTTCCTCCATTCCCGCCCCTCGGTCTGTTAGCAGGGAGGCATAACCAAGCCTGAACTGTCAGCTTTTGGATTGCAGGGTAGACCAAGACCTTGCTGGTGGGTTAAGACTGTAAGAAAGAAGCCCAAACAGCACCCTGCCAAGCCACCCGGAAGCCCTGCTCCTCCCCAAGCCCCAGCAGGCAGGACAAGGCTAGAGACTCACTCATGTCCTAAAGCGAGTAACAGAGCTGGCCCAGACTCCACTGGAGGAGGAGTGTTGAGATGAGGTCTACAGGAGCTCAGTCAAGGGAGCCGCAGCCCCCCAAACGTGGCTGGGCCGGTCTATGGCTGCACAGGAGCAGCTCCTTGTCCGGGGGCAGGAAGGTCTTCTCACAGCAGAACCCCCCTGCCCACCACAGTCGGATGACGCAGCTCCAAGCACTGCTCACCAGGAGGATCCTCTCCAAGTCACCAGAGGGCCCTCCGATGAGTGGGCTTCCCTTCTAGAGGTTACGATCCTGAAAGAGGCACCCTGAAAGGCCCTGGGTGGTCTTACATGGGTGGCCTTGTCCTAAATGATCTTGGGTGGCCCTGCATCACCTAGGATAATTTTGAGGAGCCCTGAGTGATGGTGGACCCATAGGTGGCCCCACATGGGCTTTAATGGCCTTGAATAGGTTTTGTTGGCCCTGGATAGCCTTGCATGGTCTTGCTGGCCCTTAGTGTCCCTGGGTGTCCCTGCATGGTCTTACTGCCCTGGGTGTCCTTGAATGGTCTTGCTGGCCATTAGTGTCTTTGGGTGTCCCTGCATGGTCTTGTTGGCCCTGGGTGGCCCTGCATGGTCTGTTGGCCCTGGGTGGCCCTGGGTGGCCCTGCATAATCTTGTTGGCCATGGGTGGCCTTGCATGGTCTTGTTGACCGTGAGTGGTCTTGGATGGTTTTACAGGCCCTGGGTAGCCTTAGATCAGTGGTTCTCAACCTTCCTAATGCTGCGACCCTTTAATACAGTTCCTCATGTTGTGGTGACCCCCTAACCATAACATTATTTTCGTTGCTACTTCATCACTATAATTTTGCTACTGTTATGAATCGGGCAGCCCCGGTGAAAGGGTCGTTTGACTCCCCAAAGGGGTTGCAACCCACAGGTTGAGAACTGCTGCCTTAGGTGGTTTAGCTGGCTCGGGGGGCCCCCAGATGACCCTACATGCTCTTGCTGGCCTTAGGCGGCCATGGTGGCCTTATAAGTTAGGCAGCTGCTCGGTGATCACAGCACAAAGCATGTCACCAGCCTTGTTCCAGAGCTGTCTTGCTGTGTGTTTAAAAATGTGGCATGGAATGACAGCAGGGATGGAGATGTTCCCCTGAGGGGAGGGGAGAGGACCCTGTTGCTGATGCGGTGCCTTCCCTCTGCTCCAGGCGTGGGCTTCACGGTCATCCTGATCTCGCTCTACGTGGGCTTCTTCTACAACGTCATCATCGCCTGGGCCCTGCACTACTTCTTCTCCTCTTTCACCATGGAGCTGCCCTGGACCCACTGCAACAACACCTGGAACAGCCCCAACTGCTCCGACACCCACGCCGGCAACGCCAGCGACGGCCTCAACGACACCTTCAGGACCACGCCCGCCACCGAATACTTTGAGTGAGTGGGCGGCCAGCTCCTCCGGACCACTGGGCAGGTCACTTAACTGTGCCCGCTGCCAACATGGGGAGGGATGGCAGCAGAGTGGTGGCGCGGCAGTACCCCCGCGCCTCCCAGGTGTGGGGAGAGCAGACTCCTCCCCCAGGCTCCTGGCCTGGCCTGCCTTCAGGAGGGAGTCCATCGGAATGGCGCCCCAGAGCTCACAGAGCTGTGGTTCAGGGTGAGTCGTCGGCAGGGGTGGGAAACCAGGCGTGCCCCATCCCTGCTCTGTCTCCCTCCCGGGTAGTAGGCTGCGGGAGCCCCCACAGACCCTGCCCAGAAGGTGAGCTCTGCTTGGTTCTGTTCTTCCCTCGGCCGTCGCCATCCTGGGGGGCATAAGAGGATGCCTTTCCAATTGAGTGCAGACAGCCATGCCTCCCTCCGACACATGGCACTGTCCACTCATGCAACTTGCTGTGGTTCCCCCGTGCCTGTGAAGGTTCCGCCAGTACCAAATCAGAGTCTGCGGTTGTTTGGTGCCGTCAAATGGGTTCCGACCCAGAGTGCCCCTGTGTACAGCAGAACAAAACACTAGCTGCTCCTGGGCCATGCTCACAATTGTATCCCACCTGTGAGCTCCTGGTTGGCGGCCACTGTGTTGATCCATCTCATCGAGCGCCTTCCTCTCTTTTCCTGCCCTGCTGCTTTACCACCACGCTGTCCTTCTCCAGGGACTGGTCTCTCTCCGGACAACACTTCCAAAGTCCATGAGATGGAGGCTTGCCATCCTTGCCTCTAAGGAGCGTCCCGGCCGTCCTTGTTCCGGGACAGATTTGTTTGCTCTTTTGGCAGTCCACGGGACTTTTGATGTTCTTCACCAGCGCCACGATGCAAACGCAGTGATTCTTCTTTGGTCTTTCTTATTCAGGGAGGTGTGTTAGTCCGGGTAGACTAGAGGAACAAATTCATAGACATGCATGCGTATAAGAAAGAAGTGTATATACAAGAGCAATTGCATATTAAGAAGACACCCCAGCCCAGTCCAGATCCAGTCCATAAATCCAATATTAGCCCAAATGTCAGATACCAATCTATAAAGCCCTCTTCAGACTCACACTACACATGCAATGATGCCGAATGCAGGAGGATCACAGGCCAGTGGGTTGGAAGTCTTGTGGATTCAGTGGCGTTGTAAGCATCTCAGTGCTGGCAGGGGTCTCTATGTAGCTTCTCTGGCCCCAGAGGTCTGGTTGCATCAGGGCAGGTCCATGTGGCTTCTCCAGCTCCCAGGGCGTCGCACCATGTGTCTTGTCAGGAGCACTCTGGCCGTGGGTTCTTCCAAGACAGGCTGTGAGAGTGTCCAAAAGCTGACCCGGAGAGGGCTGTTGGGAACCGGCTGGTTGTTGGGTGACCACGGGCCTTTGATTTGTAAACAGTGTGGTGCCTGCGCTGAAATAGGCTGTGCCAGTGGACCTCACTCGCTGACCCAGCACAGTCCACTAGCTTTCTTCTGCTTCTCTGCCAACACTGCTTCCTGCCCGCACCGTGTCATGGTCCCATTTCAAGCAAGGCCCCTGGACTTTTCTCTCAGCTGCTGCCTCCTCCCATGGAGGCCAGGCCTGACCCAGCTCTTCCTGCTGTGAGGCCCCAAGCATGCTGCTGCCACTCCCCTGTGGGATCGCTGTTTTCTGTGCGGTTTTTCAGGTCCTTCATGGCTTCCTTTACTTCCCTCCCCACTTGCTCAACGTGGCTGGACGCCATAGGGCCGTCCCTGCCCCCGTAGGTCCACTGTTCCCGTGGACCCTCCCCCATCTCAGGGGCAGCCTCTCTCCCATTCATGAACTTCATTACACTTCGCTTCTCAAGTTCATAGGAGTCTTAGTGGCGGAGTGCTTACGTGCTGGGATGCCAACCATGACAAGATCGGGCAGTCTGAAACCATCAACCGCTTTGTTTGTGAGAAAGATGGGGCTTCTGGCTCCCATAAAGAGGTCCCGTCTCAGAGATCACTGTGAGTTGGCATCGCAAAGGCTGGGATTCACCAGGTCTGTTCGTCCTTTGGGCTAGTTGTGCTCATTCTTCTTTGGAGTTTTCTACACTGTTCCTTCTCCAGAGGAGCAGAGACCAATAGTTATACCCTAGATGCCGCTTGCCCATCTTTCAAGACCTGAGTCACCGCGCACCGCAGTTGGATGTCCTTTGTGACTGTGCCATGCCAGTTGTCCTTGTCACCCCCTAAAGCAATGGTTCTGAGCTCCCAGGTTGAGCAACTCATTATCTCACGGTGCTTGCAGATGGCTAGAGAGCTTTCTGATTCAGACCGGTGGAACTCCCAAGACTATGGCCTTTAACCACCCTTTAGCCTTTTCATGTTCCCGCTGAGCTCAACTTTCAGCCCAAAGATAGACAGGCCGACAAGGAGGTGGCACTCCCTAGAACAGCCAGCTCAGAGATCAAAGGGCAGGCAGCATTTGCCCAGGAGTAAAACCTAGAAGGCAGGGAGGCATCCAGAGAGGAGGGTGGATGGAAACGTAAGCAGAGGAGGCAGCGAGAAGAGTCCTGTTCCCCAGTGGGGACTGCGATCGGTGCCTCCAATCTAAATGACTATGAATTGCTCAGTGCAAACCCAATTTACTCTGTTCACTTTCACCCAAATCACACTGAGAAATGTTTGTGTTGCATTCGCTCAGAAAGAATATATGCTTAAAAAAAAAAAACCCCGAAAAAACAGATTAGCCACGTCTACTCCGTCAGTGTCCTTCTAGAGAATGATGCAAATGGACAGCTGTCCCAGCGCTCTGCAGCTGGAAGGCCCTGTTTGCAAAGGGCCTCAGAGGTGGTGGCAGCTGCAGGACAAAGCTGGTCAGTCTTGAGAAGATTTCAGAAACATTAACAGATTATTAATGACACTGTGAATTATTGAACTGCACCAAGGCACACCTTACTCCACGCGAGCACACTCAGGATTATTTGACTAGAAAGTGGTAGCAGGTTGCCTTGAAACAGGGTTTTGTGTATTTGTCAGAGCCCAGGATGAGCCCAGAGAGTTTCCTGGACCTAAAACCCATTGTAGCAAGCATTCATTGTATGAAGACCTCAGGAAGTGGGAACCAGAGCTGAGGAGGGGCTCCTGTGGTCCCTCTGCACCTTCATCCTCATGAATACACACAGCTCATGCATATACACATAATGAACACACAAACACACACACCACCTGTATCTACATGCACACACTAAGCGTGCACACACATACACTGATAACTACACACAAGGATACACACCACACATATCTACATTATCTACATACACACAATAAACACATACATACACAAATAGATACACATATATACATACACTCAATGCATATATACATACACCCCGTGAACATGCACACACAAAACACATGTGCATATATAACCACAATACACACATGTCTATACACATAAACACTCACAAACACATATAAATATATACACATTTATACACACGAAAACACGTGTGTACACATAAACACACATGCACATATAATAATACACAGAATAAACACACATATATACACATACACATATCTGTGCACGCACATAGACCCTCACAGACACACACATGCATATAAACATGCATAGCTACACATACATACACATAAACTCACATAAACACATGCATAAAGACTATACTTGCAATCATTCAAATAATAAATTCCTACGGCTTATAAAGTGGGCCCACTCAACTGCCGTAGATCATACAAAGGGTCCAAGAGCCCTACAGTTCCAGCTTTCTAGAGTAAAATGATGCTGATGGTCCAATCCCCTTGATATGATTGAACGATTGAACTGCTCAATGGTATGATCTTTAAATTATGTGCCAATAGAACTGTTGGGGGGGAAGAAAAGACAAAAACCCAGGAGAACAGACCAGTGGCCATCACGTCGCTGTAAGACTCCCAGGGACTGGAGGCCACGGGAGGACTGCCCTGCAGGCTCTCCAAGCCGACAGATCTTCACAGAAACCAACTGGCACGTCCTCCATCCACGCTGGAGCTGCTCGATGCAAACCACCCACCTTTCCGTTTCCCCCAAGCACTTGGCCAGTGGGGTCACCAGGGCTCCTTACCTGGCAATCTTACTCTGACTCCGCAGTCCTGTGAAATGGCTCCTCCAGGAATGCTTACTTTTCACGTCACTTCTTGTCTGAGAAAAAGAAAACCCCGTTGTCGTTCCATCGTTGATAGGTGCTATCACGTGAGTTCTGACTCACAGCGACGCTTGGACACCACACACCGAGCTCTGCCCAGTCCTGCTCCATCCTCCGATTGTTCTGCTCGAGCCCATTGCTGCGGTCACCGTGCCAAGGGTTGTCCTCTTTTTCACCACTCTCTGCTTTGGCAAGCATGATGTCCTTTTCCAGAGGCTGGTCCCTCCTGATAGCATGACCAGTGTATGTGAGATGCTTCTAAAGAGCATTCTGGCTGTACTCGTCCAAGAGGGAGGTGTCAGATTTCTCCCTAGTTAGCCTTTTTTTCTTTTAAAGCGTTAAAGTTTCTTACTGAAGGTTTCACTGTATCTTCCTGAAGGGAGAAATACCGAGAGGACCTGACTCCTCACTAGTCCCTGTCCTTGCCAACGTCCTTCCGGTTCACCCCAATGGGTATGTGTGAGAACAAATGATAGGCTCAGAGGGGAAGCCAGGGGTCTTTGTGAGATGGCATTGTGAACCTGCTTTACACACATGAAGTCTGGGCAGAGCAGCCAGGACAGTGGATGTGGACTGTAAAACCTCAACTAGGAAGGTGGTGCAGCCTGGGGCATGGCGTCACTACATGTCAGAGCCGACTCCACATCACCTAACACATAGGTTCCTTGTAGTCGACGTAGAATCGAGTCTCACCTTGATTTATCTAGTCCGACCAGCTCTTTTCATCAGTGTTTAGACCCTTTCTGTTTAGTCATTACCATTGCGGTGGGGTGATCACACGGCTGAGATCCACAATGTCAGCAGTTCAAAATCACCAGCCGCTCTATGGG